GGTCTTTTTGTTTTGGGTACTTTCATTTAATGCATTGATATTCAATTTTTATTTGTAAACTCATCAGAAAATTGTTGTCAAATGATCACAAATATATAAAATGAATCTGATGCCTAAATTCCATGGGAAAAAATAACTCAAAAATTAATTTTTAAAGAAAAAAATGTAAATCGCAAACCGCCCACAACTGCCCGCACATTTGCAAACCCTATCCGCACAAACCGCAAACCGCACTGCGGGCGGTTGCGGTTTGACTTTTTCCCAAACCGCATAGATTCGGGCGGGTCAAAATCGAACCGTAAACCGCACAAAACCGATCCGCGAGCACCCCTAGATAGCGGAGGTAATGTATGGGCATTTTGGTCATTGTGCGATAGATTGTTCTTATGGACATAATAAATTAGCATATGGATCTATGGACAAGGAAAATCCAAAATTGGATTTTTCTACCGAGCACTCTTGATTTAATTTCCTTCAAACTTTTATGGAAATCCATCAAGAGAACTTCTGATTTTGAAATCATGCTTTAGCTCATAATGCAACTCTAGTGTTGGTTATGATATAATAAGAAAGAAAATCCCTAAATACCTCAAAGAAGCACTTTTTTGAAAAAGCCAACCATGATATGATCTGCTACTAATTTTTGGGTTCTATTTCCTAATAAAATGCTCTCTGGCCAAACAGGTTGTCAGATAATAACCCTACTCCAAAAAGTATTTTACTTATTTTATAACAATATATATAATGATAATTTCAAATTTTAATGTTACTGGAGCTTTTTATTCATTTTACTTGCTAAGTTGCTTAAAGACGTTGAAAGTGCAGTTAGAGCTTTCGCTTTGGTCTGGAATAGATTTGAAGCATAATGGGGGTCAATTGGCAATTCTGTCTGTACTCCAAAAAATGAAGGAGGTATGAATATCAGACCTTTTGGATTGTGTTTGGTTCATTAATTTAAAGAATGAAAGATAAAAAGTTATAAAAGGTGTGTGATCACTCACCTTTTCACTTTTTCTTTATAAATCTCTACCCAAATTTAGGAACTTAACACATCTTAAAGTTTTGGAACAAACGGCTATTTTAATTGACTTTTTGGTTATTTTATGAGATGAAAAAAAAAATTGTATTTGTTTGGGATGATTGTGAATTTTTTTTTTATAGTTAAATAGATGGTTGTGAGAGAAAAAATGATTGATTAATGTGTAGAATGTGGTATTTTATTTTATTGACTATTTTAATCTTTTTTGTCTTTATTAATTGTTTTAGCCTCAACCCTTGTTCCCAAACAGGGCATACAAATAGCAACTTGTTTGTTATCCAATCTTGTTTGGTGTTTGGGATGAGTTAAATTGGTTAAAATAGCCAATAAAGACAACAAAAAATATTAAAATAGTCAATAAGACAAAATGTCACATCCTACACACCAATTAATTACTTTTTTTTTCTCATAAATATTTGTTTCGTTACAAAAAAAAAAAATCATAAATCATCTCAAACACAAATTTTTAGAAAATACTAAAAGCCCCAACATTTAATAATTTAACGTACTTTTCGAATAATTTCCGATTAACAACACATTTCTATATGAGCATTATGATCCATTTTCACATTTTGTCCAATCAAAACTTCACTCACCTTATATTTTAGTTGATTATATTTGATAAGAAAAGTTGTAAGGAAATATATTGAAAAAACTTTTGAAAACGTTTTAGATCGCTAAATTTATCATTTTGAAACGAGAGTGTACCATGTTTCAAAATGTGTGTTTCAAAACGTAATTCGCTAGGATATTAGCGGTTTCTGATAAGCCTAATCAAAAGCTTTCAAGCATTGCTACATCAAATCATCAATAGACTGAATGCAATGAATCATCACCTAGCACTCTGTCAATTTGAACTACATAACCCTTGCCAATCATCAGAAAGACCAAGTTCTTTTACACAAGCTCATGCTGCAGTAAAGATTCCCAACCTGGAGCATGTTATTGGGTCAACCACAAATCTGACTATAGTATAAATAGGATTTTCATGTCATAATATCACCTTAAACTCCAGCTTCACTAGATAATGATCTCCAACAGTATATAACCACCCATGGGCTAATCACAGAGAACTATCCTGCAGTGAACTCTTTGCAGCACAATAACATTGAATCAGTTAATTTATAAGTGAGCCCCACATTAGTTCCCCCACTCATTAAAGCAAAAGTAATCAAACTTCCAAGATGGAGAACAAAGAGCACAAGTTTTGGAAGCCATGGAATCTCCCAAGTGTATTAGAAATTAAAATAAGATATAAATTGTGTCATTTCTTATCAAAGATGCCGCTAAATACCAACTATACTCGGTATGCCACATATTTAACACCAATAATAAAGAATCCCAAGATTCTAAGGCTTCACACAATCCTAATATAAAACTGCAATGTTTTTACAACAAAATTGAGTCCTCTGAAAAAATTAAATTCCACAGAACAACGTCCTAAGATAATTCTGCAGCTTTATCAACAACGTACCCTAAAGTTTGCTCTCCCAATATAAACGCCAACATATAAGACACCGCAACCGGAGCAGATGACTATAATGAAACTTGATGAGCAGACCGAACTTCAGACTCAAATCTGTTCATCAGTTGTCCAAATTACCTAAAGGGCCCTGCAATTCATTTGCAATTCAATGCTGTTAAAGAAGCAATGCTAACTATTATAACCACCAAATTTAGTGTCCTATAGATGGCCAGGGACTAAGTAACCAAAGTTTCCAAAACTAATTTGCAACATGGCATTAGAAAAATAAGAAAGGGCAGAAAATTAAGTTTTGTACGCAACCAAAGCCATGTTACCACACGGTAAAAAGGCTCAACAAAAATACACAAGAAAAAGTATGTAAATCTCTTAAAAATAACACTTTGGGATGGAGAAAGTGGACAAAACAGACTGGCATTTCCAGAGTATAAAAGATGGGTTCCTTTTTGAAAACACAAATTTGTCAGATAGAAAAACAGGAGAGAAGAGGAGGAGGAGAAAAGGTCCCAGTATCAAGAATTCTCACCCACAGATGTAAAGAAATTATGCCCTCATTCCAAAGCCTCCATATTAACTAACGTTCAGTACAATTACAAGAGATGTTAACAAGAATGATACACCATCAGAGTCCCCATACCTCAAAAACTCAACTCAACAAAGCCTTAGACCACAGCTATTAGTTATATGTATCCTACTACATCTCCCAGGACATATCCTCCATTTAATTATACCAGCATCTGAAAACCTGCATAATAATAACCGTCTAAACCTAGTTTCCGGAAATACAATCTAGAGCAGTGCTGGCACCAAGAGTATGTATGTACTTGGTGAAAAAAATCAACCAAAAAAAAAAAAAAACTGCAGCAAGATGATATTACCCAAAAAAATACAACAAATACTTGGCTATAAAATGGCACTTGTGCCATAACAAAGATGATAATAACAATTTAGATTATTTCCTTCCATAAAATTATAATCTTGGTCAGTTAACATACAACTTAAATAAACTTTCATCAGTTTTCAAAATCCACACATAATGAGGAATTAATCAAGGTTATTCAATGCATACAAACCAACACTGCATCAGTGTCCTAAAAAGAACATTTGGATCAAATAATGTCATCTAGATGTCAAATACATAGACAAGTTGTACATATTTGGTAAATGATAAAAACATACAGCACAGAAATTCCAAAAAGGGGCCCCAGTACAAAGTCACCAGGAAAGATGAGGTTCAGTAATTTATAGGCCAACACCCTAATTTAAAATATAAAACTAGATCCTAACAAAAGAAGAAACTGAATATTTATTTAAGTCCTAATTAAAAATAAATAAACACAAATATTAAATACATAAAATTACAGTTATATAATTGTAATACCAAAATGGGCGCATGCGCGTTCCTCATCAGACCTCTTGCATAATTAGGATAGGAAGGGAAGACTAAGAACAAGAGTAAGAGCAAGCTGAGGACGTGGCTTCTTTGGCATGATTTGGATAATTTGGCGTGAAAAGGAATTAAAAGATTTTCTAATGGTATGGAGAAGAAATCCAATTAAAAGGTCGGTCGATTATTGATCCTAGACATGATCTTGAAAAAAACTAAAAATTAATTTGGTTTAGAAAAGGGGGAAAAAAAAAAAAAAAAAAAAAAATCATCA